TTAATTTTAATATTTTAATTATTAAGTTGATTTTAATTTTTCTCAAACCTTAAAAACATAAAAATCATAAAAAAAATTGTAAAATTGAAAACAGAAATCAGGTATGAGGTCAATACTTCATTTCCTCTTACTTTAATCAAACAATTTTCGTTCTAAATCATCCTTAAAATTCAAATACTATTGTGGTTAACTTATTTTCTCCCTGATAGATATCACTTGCTTGTCTGATTTTAATGCTGTTTTTTATAATTAAAACTCAGAGCTTCTTTTGCCAAATGCCTTGATCCTCTATATTGGTTAATGTTGATAAACTGATTATTCAATACAACTCATATTTGCATCTTATTGAATTTTACATTCTTCCTTGTTAATAGTGATGCTGGCAGTGAGTAGGCAGCTGCAATATTTCTAAGTTTTGCATCGTGGTTTAGTTTAATATATGTTGTTGACCTAGCCATGTCATAATTTTTTAGTCAGTTCAGATTTTTCAAGTAGAGGTGTGTCGCATCTGAAACCCTATTTCTTTTATATCAGTCTCTATTAAATAGAAAGAAATCTGTGTTGTAGTGAAGGAAGGTCTAGTGTTTCCTCTTCACCTAACAAATTAATATGAGATGAATTCATATAAATCTTTGATTATATATTTTGAATCAAATTTTGCATTCACAAACTTGAATAATTAATTAATGCATTGGGGTTTTTCTTTTTGTTGGATATCCTTTTTCCTATGGCACTGAACAATCTAAACATTAGATAATCATTAAACTTACTTCCAAAGGGTATTTTAAGTGCTTAAAAGTTTAAGATTTTAAGTTAAAGTTTTGAATTTATTAAAGTAGTATGTTTTCTTGTGAATGTGAACAGTCAAGATCCCACATCAAAGAAATATTGAAGGAAAAAGTGATTTATATATGTGAAGACCCATAGAACTAACAAATTAGTCTTTTGGTTACAACGTAATGTTGAAATATGTAATGAATCACTCAATATCCCTTGCTAAACAGAATGCTAACGACAAAATACAACCAATGGTAATTTTGGTCTTGGCCAGGCTTAATAAAGTGATAGTGTATGTTATATTAACCCATGACAAGTATACCCATGGTCTTGGGCCAGGCTTAATAAAGTGAAAGTGTATATTACATTAACCCATGACAAGTATACCCATGAATGACGTTGTGCCCATGATGAGTATATCCATGGATCATGTTATGTATGTATGTCAAATCATGTCATGTATGTAGTTAAAAAAATAAAAGGATGAACTCTCATAAGGGCACTCACGACTCTCAAGTTGAAGTAGTATGTCCTTTGTGAGTGTGAAAAGTCAAGATCCCAGTGAAGAAATATAAGAGAAAAGGGTAGCTTATACATGTGAAAACCCATAAAACTAATAAATTAGTTTTTTGGTTTCAATGTAGTTTCAAAACATGTAATGAATCACTCAATGTCACATCACTAAGTAGTATATCTCCCCAACAAAGTTCCAAACTTAAAATGAATGAAGAGAAATTAAGGGAAGAGGAGGCCTTCTTTATTATATATCTCATCATTTGATGTTTGGAAAAAAAATGATAACGATTAAACTTAGGCTTCCTCACACAGTTCGTAAGAGTCAGCCATCAGCTTGCTTTCTGTCATAACCATGCAAATAGAACAATTAGGTATAAGATTTACTATTCATTTTTTTCTTTTCGCCTTACGAAGTAAGCCTTGCTATTCTTGTTCT